TAGTATAGATTTGCCGATTAGGAGGGCAGATTTTACTTCTTCATCTTTAATTCCAAACAGGATTATGTCCTCAGAGGCAGAATTCGGTTCATTAAAGTCTAAGGAAAAATAATATTTTCTCAGAAATTCTAATTCGAGTATGCAAGGGTCAGTAATATTTGCTACATATGCCGTGTGATTGTAGGCGGCACTTCCAAACGTGATGTTAAAGTTTAATTTTCCATCGATATCGATTTTATCCCTGGAAACAGTCTGCAGGGTAACGCAGGCCGGTGTCCAGATAAGTTTACCTTCCAGTTGCTGAGCCAAATCTTTTCGGATGATGCTAACATTATAAGGTATTTCTCCCACCTTCTTGGCGTGCCTTCGTGGTGTAGTGGTCTACACGCTGGGCCGGTTATTCCCAGATCTCCGTTGGTTCGATTCCTCCCGGCTGAAAGCGGATTGCGATATTTTTCATCTGATGTGCCCTGCTTCTCCAAATATATGACCTATGTCTTTACAGTGGCGCCCGAACTAAAAAAAGGGTGGTGGCGGATTATTTCTCCCCGCCCAGGATTTGGCGATTGGGTCCCATAAAAACAACCTCAGTCGCCCTTTAAAAGGGGGAGTATATAAGGTATTTCTCTCGCCTTCCTAACGTGCCTTCGTGGTGTAGTGGTTCTGCACGCTGGGCCGGTATTCCAGAGGTCCGCGGTTCGATTTTCGGCGAAGGCGTTTGCTCATTTTTAATCTCTCCGGCTTCTAATTTACCTAATGTCTCTACAGTGGCGCCCGAACTAAAAGAGTTGTTGGATGATGATTCTCCGCACCCAGGATTTGGCGATTGAGTCCCCTTAAAATCCCAGTCACCCTTTAAAAAGGGGAGTATATAAAAGGTATTTCTCCCGCTTTCCTAGCGTGCCTTCGTAGTGCAGTGGTTCTGCACGCCAAGCTGGTTTTCCAGAGGTCCGTGGTTTGATTCCCGGCGAAGGCGTTGTTAATTTTTCATCTTTGCTTCTTCCAAAAGAATACCTAATGTCTCTACAACATTAGCCCCTGTATCGATGGTCATACTGCAAGAAACTTCATTGATATATATACCATGATGAAGAGTCGCTTACTGCCTCCCACTCATTGCAAAAATGTAAAGCGCTTGGTGCTTCTCATTATCTGGTAACTTCGCGCCGCGAGACGGCCAATAATTAGTTTCCCTCCTTCTTGCTGGAAGCGATTTTAGCTTCCGTGCCCTGGGGTGTTCTGCAGTTCCTTTGTATTTAGCCTTCATCACCGCAGTTCCAGCACTTTAGGGTCGATTTCTTATCACTCCTATTCCGTCTCAAGGCATTGACTTGTCTGGTTAAATAGCCTGCATAAGCAGTCACTTGATCCACCGGCTCTTGGACTTCAGCAGCTCTGACTGGATGATTGTCTCTACGAGTTGCTTGCTGGGCTGCCTCGAATTTTATAGCGAACACTACAGCGCTTTTTAAATCCTTGGCATCCGCCATTCGCAGGAACTTTCTATATTTCAGGATCCCGGATGCCATCGATTAAGTACTGCTGGGACAGGGTTTCCTTTGTTTCTGTCGAACGCTTCGAAAAGGCGAGATGAAACAGCCTTTCAACATCAGTGGCGAGCTCCTGCAGTGTTTCTGTGGGCTTCTGTTGCCGAGATTTTAACGGAAGCCTAGTAAGTTTTTAAGCATTTCTTGCCAAAGCGCAGCTCTAGCGTGCCAGATAAAGCTTTGAAGTCTGACCTCTGGTTTTCGGACAGAGTTTGAAGGATATCCACTGCGTCTGCTCTCAGAGAAGCGGCGAGATGTCAGGCTTTAAAGCTTGGGAATCGCATCCATTCACGTCCGCCCCTACAGAAAACTGCATCTTATACACTTGCCAGGATGTCTTACCATCATATGTGGGTAGCTTTATAGAGAGGGACGAGAAGGCATGGGTAAAAATTTAAAACCACGAGAATTACTTTCTGCTGCCGCAATGAATTTCTTTAAGGTGTCAACGTCTTTGATTATAGCAGAAACTCTGTAATCGATTTGTTGTTCAACGGCAGAAACTTTATTCATTTTTTTACAGAAGAAACTCTTTCTTCAGTTTAGTACTTTTTGTTTATCGAAATTACTGGAAGGCATATGAGCGCTGAATTGCTTTTACAGCTGTATATGAAATCACTATCAATTAAAGTGATTCCATTACAATTTCTATTAAGGTGATACACAAATTTGACCAAATGGTTGCCAAGTTTGGCAACAAAAATTAGTCGTCAAAACCATTGCCAACTTGGCAATATCTCGCCAAATTAGCGCGATAGCCGTTTACGCAAAGTTAAATAAACTTGACCCTGTATTTTTATTTTTCCGGCAGAGAAACCTCCCTCTAGATTTTCATGTTACGTTATATAGAAAAATACAATTTCAAATATAACTGAGCTAAAATCATCTATCTATGTACAAAATTCGTAACAATAGTTTTTAATATTTGTTATTTTAATTTCTATATTGATACTAAATACCGGATATTTTGTGTATTTTTCCTTATTTTTAATTCATATTACTACATTAGATAAAATCTCTTTGTTCTGATAACTGGCATTAGTCTCATTTTTACTATCCTAGCATCAAAATACCTTTCTGAAATGCGAAATTTTCAGCATCAGAACAACTCTGCTTTAGTTTTGAAGACGCAATTGAAGACGACTGACATCTCGATTTTCATCTGCTCTTCATATTTAAATCGCACCAAAATTCACTTTTAAAATTACCTTTCAGTTTGAATTGAAGAGAAAAAAGATTAGTTCATACTTAAAATCATTAAATAATACTTTATAAAATTTATCAGCATATGGAGGACTCTCAAAATTATAATTTTGAACATAGCGGGAGGTAAGAATTTTCCACGCAGTGTACTTCCACGCAGTCTAATCATTGTAAATAAGGCTCTAGTTTCTTTCTCACCCTGCATTCGCAGTCCATTTTTCTCCGTCATTGGTTCATCAAGGCTTCATCTACCACCAAATGCACTCTTCTGCTGCGTTTTCCGAGGAAAGAATGGAAAATCTGAATAACAGAAACTAGAAATCGGACATTTCTGCTCGCCTACTGTGTCAGTGATCAAAGTGCTCTTTGTTCCACTGCGTGACAGTTCCATTAGTCATATCTAACTATTATTGTTCAAAAACTGACTCAAATTGACATCCTTGGAGCAACAGTAAATAAATCGTAAGTCTGTTATAAACGCAATTATGTTATCTTTGAATGAATTCCTAAGTCACGCCCTTGCTGTCTATTTGTAATTCTCTATGTTACAATTCCACAATAGGTTCTCTTTTGTGATGTATAACTTCATTCCATCGGAACTAGAATATTTTATACTTTTAAGCAATATTCTAGGACTCAGGAAAAGGAATTGTAAAAACACTGGTGTTCAAAATTTTATCTCCAGAACTGAAGGTAGATTTAATGAAATTTGTCATGGACATAAATTACTATAAACTATCCCGTTAATATCCTTACTTTCCAGAAAATAATCCACTAGATTATCCCCATGTGGACGATTGTTATCTTCTATATAAACGAACTTAGGGCCAACTGCATTGTTGAAGCAGCTAGTATAGCTCTTTAAGGTCGCAGCAGTCACAGAGCATCTGTCAAAGACATTAAGGTCTTTGACAGAATTTCACATAATGACTGCTCAGACCATCAAACTTCTGCTGCCATCCAGATTTTCTCGAAAGTTGGAGCACAAGTAAGAGATCCCCAGTTTCCTCCAGATGAAAATATTTCGAGAATGAGTGATAAGGCTGAATATGGATTCATCTGGGAAGAGGAAGGTCTTCCATTGATTCTTGCTGCAAAGTCAATATTCTCTGCACCGTACTAAACGGGTTCTCTTGCACTTAGATGTGAGAGAGATGCAAACTGCAGGTCTCGCAAATAGACAAAATGTTAGAGCCCTATTTTCGTCTTTTCAGGTGTACACTTCACTCTCAGTTTACTTTTACGGACGAAAACGCTCATTCACATATGGCTAATATGGCAAATGGTTTTCTGATAACTGTGGATATTAACCGGATGGATTGACCAAACATATATCCAGACCTAAAACTACAGAACATGTCTGGGGTGCTCTTGGAATGAAGATTGCAATTCTCTATCTCCTTTTCAGAATTCTCCAGTCTGTCAACAGCGTTGCCTCAAAATTAGAACCGGTTGACCCAGGGTTTCATAAAGTGCGTATTTCTAGCATGAAGTCAAGCTGCGAAAGCTATATGACTGTTAGAGAGGATCTTATCACATGTTAACCTCCTTTTCTCTTCAATCTTGAAATCTTTGTTTTAAATCTTCTTGCGCCAATGAGCGGCTCATTTTCATGCTTGTCTTGGTACTCTTTTTTAACAACCTAATTCCATACCAAATATCATTAAAATCTGTCCATTAGTTTTGGAGACACTAGATAAAATGTGAAAATTCTCTTAATTTTGAACACCAGCGTAAATAGCTGTCTTTCCACTATTTTTGAAATGCTAAATATCGATGAGGAAAATAAGTGAGATACGTGTCGAAGATAATGACACAAGACTGGGTACATGGTTAAAAGAACATGGTGAAGTTTCAGCGCATGGTTTCAGCAAATATTTACTGATAAGTTGTTTTGTCGTAAATAATTTGCAGTTTGAAGTTACTTATTTATAATTTATTTGCGGATTGACCGCTAGGCCTTAAAACTCTTCGGTAGACAAGTTAGGAAAATGTTCATTGGAAAAATATAAATGACTTTTTTCCAACATTGGCAATTTTTTTTTCGTTAGATGGATTTCCAGCCGTAGAGCAATACCAGCATCTGGACAAGATGGTACAGCACTTTCTGCGACCGTATCTACAGTACAAATCTAATTTTGAAGCTATAGCAAAAGCAGTGAAATATCATTACCTCAAAGGTGCGGTCATTCCTAGCTTTGCTTCAATAGAGCCAGTACTAGCAAATGTAAGTAATAAATTAATATTTAATACGCATTTTAACAGTAGTGATATCCAATTGTTCTTAAACCACTTTACTTGGAGCCGCAAGGTTTGCTTTACTTAGAACAGTTAATAAAGTATACAAACCAAAGGTTATTATGGAAAAAACTATAAGACAGTAATTAATTTTAGCTGCCAGGGAAGTCGTCCCAACAGTAAGAAATACGAAGACCATTTGCTTTAGTTGTCAGAAGGAAGTAGTAAAATCCACAAATGAATGACAAAATTGTTTTCGCTGTCAACTATCGCACTGTAGCTTACTATTCGTTGTATAATAAGTCCTTTTCTCAATTTTCATATGCAGAGGCTATTGAGACGGCGCATGCGGTAGGTTTGATTTTCAATAGCGTGTTCCCTTTGGCACCATATGCACAATTTTATAACTTCCCTTATGGTTCTCACTTCTTTTTTCTCAATTAGCATTATAATCTGATAGATTTTCTACAATAGTGCTCAGTTGTTTTCTATTGACTGTCCCTTATAAATATGCGTAATAATGTACATTACTTTGCATAGCAAAGAAAAAAAAAACTGTTAAAAGAATAATAAAATCAGCACAATGTAAGCAAAGTATGATCAACATGACGGCATCATCACCGGATCGCATATTGGTGCTTGCCTGAAGTAACTCCTATTCTATGCCTCATATTGCATTAGTATTTATGTTAGCATTTCGCGGCCTGTTTCGCCAGCACTCAAAATATTTTCATATAAAACTTGCAAAAGGAACGACGTTTTGTATGGTTTTTCTCGCTCCTTACCTTGTGCTCTTATTGTGTAATAGGAAAACACGTCCAGCTAGAAATCAGAAGGCCCGGAGTTCTAGTCCCGGCTAAAGTTATTGCAGATTTCTTCGGTTTCCTGTTCCAAAAAATCCTAATGACGCCACAGATACTAGGATAGTGTCTACAGATACAGGTACCCGAACTAGAAGGTGTGGACGATATTTTGTCATCATCAGAATTTGGCGATTGGGCCCCTCCTCCCCAGCTGCTCCTTAATGGGGGAGAATATAAGGTTTTTCTCCCACCTTACTGAGTGCTTTTGTGGTGTAATTGTAAAGCACGCCCGGCTATCAATTGGAAAGGCCAACATTCGAGTTCTGGCGAGGACAGTGAATATTTTCATGTCTTCTTGCTCCGAAAAATTCAATAAAACTGTACACTTTATTTAAGAACACATAGATCGGTAAAATTTTGCAACTTTCTTAGAGGACCTACAACTGTAAATTCTGAAATTTTGTAGTTGTTAGAAAGATTTACAAACATTTTTACATAGCTGATTTACATTTTATTAATTTTGGCTGCGGTTGGTTCATTAAGGCACATAAATGAGTTTAATCTATTTTGTTTCAAGTAACACCGTTGATATCTGTGCCAACCCGATAGAAAATTATTAGCTAATTCAGAAATGATTAATATTTAACTTTATCGAGTGGTTTCTGATTTTTAATAATTTTTATTTTGGTTTTAATTTACTATGTTTGTTATATGCTTCTTTTTGCGTGATTTTTTTCTCGACACTGTAATAATCAGTCATTTGCACCTATTTTCTGTGTAAATTTACAAGTATAATATTGCTCATTCTGTATTTTCAGATGATGTCGGACTTTTTATATGTAACTCCCTTGTATGAAACCTTAAAATCACACAGTAGAATAACTCCAAACACATTCATGTACGTTTTCAAGGACGAAGATGAAGGTAAAGTATTTGATGGGAATGGATGGCAGTATCATAATGAATCCTTCGCTGGTAACTTAGTTATCACTCTTTCTAAGAAAGGTTATGATCATTGCACTTAATCATTTCAATAAATTTCCTTCGTAAATAGAAAATCAAAAGCTCGCTATGGCTACTTGCTCCAACTCCATGTACCGTCTTTAAGATAGAGCCGTCAGTGTAAACACGCATCCACTCATTTTGAGGATAGCGAAGCCCAATAGATCTTAACTTTAAATCGCTTATTTCGTTTTTAACAACTTTTTGTATAAGATCAAGATTTATATTCAAATTCAAAAAGTCCAAGGGAAAAGGGGAGGAGATAAAATTAGATAATCTCGACTCAATTCCAAAGTATCAGATTCTCTTTGAGCAGCCTGGATAAATCCAATTTGAATTTTAAGATTTCTAGAAATTTCACTATTATAGTTCCTCCAAAAAGTGTTTTCGGGCAAAGGCACTACTTCTGGTTTAACAGGATCGCTTTTCTTGTAATAAAATTATGAACTGTTTCCAAACCGGTTAAAAGCTGCGCTACAAGAATAGATATCACTGCCTCAGTAATTAATGCTTAACGCTTGGTTCTGGAAGACTTCGAGGATCTGGGCCACATTCTCCGGAGCCGTGATGAGCATATCGCTACAATAAGCAATAATTAGTTGAACATATAATTTGTACGTAGTCGTCAGTGTCTCTCTGTCACAGCCCCACCTTGAACCAGCCGGACGTTTGTAGAGACAATAGGTATTTTTTGAAAGCAGGAGAATTGAAAAATGAGCAATGCCCTCGCCGGGACTCGAACCACGGACCTCTCGAATACGCGTCAAGCGTGCTGATCATTACACCACGAAGAAGTGACCATTACACCACGAAGAAATGACCATTACACCATGCTAAGAAGACGGGAGAAATACCTTTTTATTTTTGAAATGTTATGCTTGTTTCCTCCAATTTAAGCGTAGATATAGAATGCAACCCAAATATCTAGTACAATCACTATGTTGAACATTTACACCCTTATATGTCAAATTTTAGAGAAAAAAGGCTGTCTGTTCAGAGTAGAAAACTGGTAAGCGCTCTTATCCTGATTTAATCTCATACCAATTTTATGCACTAACATTCCAGCTCTTTCAGAGCACTGTCAAGAATCTCGTTTAAACAAGCTTGAATCTTTTTAGAAGCACTACTCCAGATAACCAAATAGTCAGCAAAAAGGGCAAAATCCATCCAAGGTGCTACAGTGTTCGGTAAATCATTAATAAAGACATTAAAAAGAATTGGACTGATGACTGTTCCCTGCGGAAGACCAGTTTCAATGCGTTTAAATATAGAAATGTCACAGCCATATCTCAAAGCAGATAAACGCTGTGATAAGAAATTCTTAATCCATAAAAACATTCTGCAATTTATTCCCAAGTTCTGTAATTTTTTAATAGAATAAAGACTCTATACTTTATCATAAGCTGATTTAAAGTCTATAAATGTTGCGAAGACAGACAAACGTTTGTCTAAAGAATCCTTAATTGCTTTACCAATATAAGAGACCTGTTGGACAATGAAATGATATTGTCTGAATGCCGCTTGCTTAGGAGACAAAAGACCCTTACTCTCAAGAAACCAAGTTAATCTAGAGACTATCATCTTTTCCATAATCTTCTATAAAACACTAGCCAATGCAATAGTTCGATAGCCTTTAATATCATCTGTAGGTTTATCCTTTTTCAAAATAGGGATAATAATGTCTTTTAACAATGTCTTTTCTCCACGTATTGGGTACATAAGCGTTGCAAATATGATTAAAAGTAGATAGAAGGCTCATTTGAACATCATATTCTGGATGTTTAATAAACTCTGGATTAATATTATGTGGGCCTGGACTTTTTCCCATCTTTAGGAAATCAATAGCTTTTATAGTTCCAAAAAGTCACAGTTTCTATTAAAAATCTCTTGTTCAGTTCCTATAGTCCTATGGGAGTACCTGATCGATTTCTTAATCAGCTTTTGATCTCTCTTAATTTCACCAGTTAGGCGCTGATTAGAAGCATAAAAATTCATAAAAACATTAGAAATATACTTGTCAAATTTTAAAATCTTTCCTTTAAAAATTATTAGCACATTTGAGGAAAGTTTCAATTTATTTGCAAATTTAAAAACCTTACCTCCGTCTTTACGGTAGTGAACATTATTTATAAAAACTATTAAAACTCTTGCGCTTTGATAAATTGATTTCTTTACGGAGAACTGTAATACTCTTTCTCCAATATCTGACATCTTGTGGGTTTTTGTACAGGCCTAAACGGTCTGTTCCTTTAATAGAGTACGTTTATCATTCCAAAAAGTTTTTAATTGAATTTACCTCTGGGTATCCGGCGTTTAGCCACTGATGAAATGGTCTTGTAAAAATATGACAAGGAGGAATCTAGTTTTTTTTATATAGTTTGTTGGTCTACTAAAGAGAGCATCCTATTCATCCCGGTAAGCCTTCCAATTGGCCTTCCTAAACTCCACATATTCTTAAAATAGTGCTGTTGTTTAGAGGCTTTACCCTTAACTAGGAATAAAGTAACAATAATGCGATGGCCAGAGCCAGGATCATAAATTATTTCTCCGTTCGTATCATCTGCTAAGTCGCTTGAAGGCAAAGTTAAACATAGTTAGTACTACTTCCATTAGAGTGAAGGTAAGTAGGAAATTTCTATATATCAATTCGAGAGTATTGAAATCGAGGAGGTCCTTCGTACCTTTTCCTGCACTGTTTGTGTCTCCATAATTTCAACCTAAACTATGTGCTCTGAAATCTCCACATAAATTTGTTTTCTTAGAAAATTGAATGCTATCAAAATTTAATCGAAAATTACTGGTAGGCTATAAGTGTTAAAATTTTAATATGGTTCTGATAAATCCAAACATCGACTCGGATCATCTCAGCTCCACTATCGGACGAAATGTCACTAATGATATATGAAGAAGTTAAAATGTGCTTAATGCTAACTAAAATACCACTAGCTTTACACTTAGTTTTAGGTAACAATTTCAAGTAAAAATCAGGGAAGTTATATTTAGTTAAATCACTATATGCAAGGCTTGCTTCGACTATTATAAAAACATCAGTATTATGTGACCTACGATAGTTTGGAGTTGTGTTCGTTTTCCCTGAGAATTTCAACCGGTATCCCATTGGAGAATTCTCAATCGTTGTATATCCTTAAAAGGGTAATTTGTATTATTTTTTGAAGTCATCATCAAACCGAAGACAGGCGAGAGCGCCAAAGCTCTAGCAGATTTAATGTTAAGCAGGGTGCACCACGAGAAGGCCTGCTACGTTACACCCCGCAAATATTCAATATCACGAAAAATTAAAACTAGTAAAATCAAGTATGTGTTCTAAAATGAACGCTTCTTAAAAAAGACGACCGCCATATTGGAAGAGAAATGTGTCAGTGTAGAATTTATCAAGCTTATATTTTCGTAGATTTCAAAATTGATACAAATCTAAGGTTACTTTTTTGCTTATTTTAAAATATCTGTTTGCATCAATTCTCAAAATACCCATACAGTGAAATCTCCATAATACACCTAGTTTCTGAAGTAAGGAAAGCGCTTATTTTGCAAGGCTGTTTTTTCCAGGATTATTTAAATTTAATTATTTATTTTATTTAAATTTTAATACTATTTATATTATTAGTATCAAAATTGTTTATAAATTTTGTTTAAATTTAAAATAATTAAATTTTAATTTTTATAAATAAAGGCTATGGGAAAACTTTTAAAATTTAGATTAACATTTAATAAAAAGGCAGAGAGGAAGTACTTCTCTACATGCTAAACACTTTATTCTAAGCTTAATTAATGCTTTTTAAGTAAACTATGCTATTTACTGTTTAACTGTTTGCTTAAGTTTTTAACTCGCATAATTCATTTCTTTTAAATATTTTTTTTTCTAGTATTTCATATTATATTACCAAGAAGTTAGATGGCAGCTGTAACTGTTACGACGAAAACAGTTTTTGAGGGGCGGCACATTTAGAAGCCCCCACATTTAGTTCACTCTTATATCTTCAATAAAGAATTCATTTCCGCTGTATATTCACGAGATTTTTTATCTCAATTACGAACTCTGTCACGTTAGGTTAGAAAAGATATGACATTTTCGTACGTGTTCTACACAGGATGTGGTTTTATAACGCGGATGCCTGCTGACAAGTGTTTCTAACACCTGAGTCTTCAGCTGTATATTCATAAATTCAACCCTTTTTATATCACTAAGCAATTACTGAAAAAAAATTCTCTCCCTCTTATTTTTCTTTGGCGAAGGGAAGAGTCCGCATCATGTAATTTTCACATCAAGAACTAAACGTCAATCAAAAAAAAGAGCTCCAATAAATCTTCTCGGAAAAATAGTAATCTATTATCATACAGTTGAAAAACAAATTGCTTTTAAATAACCAGTTTTGTTTTCCAAGCAATAAACGGAATAAAATAGATTTTATGTAAAATTTGAAAAATAAATAATTTAAGTACTTTTTTATAATGCTGTAAAATAAATAATAAGCTCACAGTTCACCAATAACTGATCTTTCTTACAGGTATGAATCATATAGAAGACGAAAGTTACTTATTTAATAAAACATTCAAAAACTCTGGCAGGTATCAGAATAGCTCGAAAGACCAGAACGTAATACAGAATCTCTGCAAAATTTGGGGCAATTTCATCAAACTAAAGTACGTATTTTCATTTTGTTTTGAGAATGCATAAACTAAAGATTTAAGAATCTAAGATTTAAGATTAAGAATAATTTTTATTTGTACATGTTCTGAGCGTAAAATTTGAAGGTTTAGAAATGAACATAGCATAAGTTTTATGTAAAATGAATTTTCTCATCAAAAAAGGTTATTACATATTAATCCAATAAAGTGCAATACTGGTTTTCCCTCACTTAAAACACATTTCCATCAATGATGTTCTTACATTTCTGCAGAAGATATTTCTCATTTCAAATAATGTGTTGCCAGAAATTTTTATTCCAAAACATCTGCTTTTCCTAAATTCGAAATATAACCTAAATTTCTAAATTCTTCTTATCTAAATTTTCTAAAAATGCATAAACAGCCTCTGATTAAATGCGGCTTCGGTCACATATTCGATCTTCATACCAGTCGAGCACTTCCGCAACGGCTGTTGAATCTTGAGCCGGTTTTTTAATAAAGGGCAAATCAAATTTAATGGCATAGAAAGAAAAGATACTTGCGACTATTGTTGTGAATTTATTTCACAAATACAGATGTAAAATTAAAGTTCAGCTCAATTTTCTATGGACATGCACAAATTTTGAAATGTGAAGGCCCTTTGTAAACAGCAGACCTTTATACAATTTATTAGTTCCTGAGTTCTTGGCACACAGGTGTACGAAGTCTATTCTAGTCTTTTAACTACTGGACCCATAAAGACAGTCAGATGACTTATCATCTCATTCTTAAAGTTCTAAGTAAAATAACTCAAATCGAATTAAGTAGTTTAAAATAAATATATTTTTTTAATTGTCAGACTATCGGTTACACAACCGCATATAAAATTGATCCTGCTATTCAGTTCACTTTTGAACTTGAGACTTGCAATTCTCTTCCGTTTCTCGACATTCTGGTCACACGTAACACATCCAACTTCAGTAACTACGGTTTACCGTAAACCTTCATCGGTTTGCCTTCCAACACACTTTAAAATCATGTCATCCAACTAAACAAAAGTTAGCTTCATTTATTCCTATGTTTGTTCAAGTTTGTTCCTCCAAACTAGCCCTTGATGAAGAACTAAATTATTTAAAAGGAATAGCTATTAACAGGGGCTTTTCAACCAACATTATTAATCAAGCAGTTAACAGATTCTCATCTCAACACACTAAAAGGCACACTCTTGTTTTAAGAGATTATAAAAAGTCTGTTCATTCCCTTCCTTCCATCAATAATTAGCTATAAAGTTGCACATACTTTGCAGAAATTTAACTTTGGGGTCATTTATTCTTCCCATCAATAAAATTCCGAGTTCAGTACTCAAGGACCCCATTCCAGATATGAATTCCTGGGGTATTTATAGGATTCCTTGCCAGTGTGGGTTTAATTACATTGGCCAAACTAAGAGAGCCTTTAAATTTCGCGTCAAGAAACATGAGGCATATGTTAGAAAAAAAAGGAAACACAGAAGTCTTCTGTTGCTCAACATTGTTGGTCCGAAAATCACACTTTCAATTTTTCTGCTGCCAAAATTATTCAAAAAACATCTTCCATTGGAAAACTGGATTTTCTAGAGGCTTTTCACATTCATAAAAATCTTTCTGTTCTAGTTAACGATCCTAATTCCAATCCAAATTTGCCTTCGGCCTTTAAAGAATATATGTTTTAGTTTTGGTTTTACAACAGATGGCGCCACTAGCTTATTCTTGTCCAGGCTTTCTTATCTTATCTAATCATTATTTCCTATCTTGTTCATTTGCGATTTTGCAGCTGAGGTCGGTGGTTCGGTAAAACCATCGAAACTAGTCCTGTGAAAATTTTGTAAATATAACGCTGATTTTTGTTGTTTGACTTCTGAATTAGTATTTCTTCATCAGTTTAGTTGACCAGTTTATCCACGTATGAAGTTCATTTTATCGCTATTCAGAAGTTGTATTTATTTAAATACTTCTTTAGCCATATAATACTGGAAAAAACTTCTTTTACAATAGCAAGAGAAATGAATGAAACTATTAATATTTTTAACATAATGTAAACATTCGGGAAAGAAAATTTGTATCTTTGTATAGCCTAGAACAGTATCCCTAGCAATTTTAGAGATATTCTTTTAACGATTATGTGTTTTATCGCCATAATGAATACTCATTATGAACTGCTGTACACTGAGTAGTACAATTATTCTCAAAATATAACTGATTCCAGTTATGAAAAATTATTCTTGATATAAAATTCGAGAAGTATATATTGCAATGGCACAACTGTTCCTTACAAAAAACTGGAGGAATTCTTTAATCTATAATTTTTAATTGGTTTATTTAATTTTTCTACCTTTGGAAAGTCAGGCTTCATTGCTCTCCCCTTAAATATGACTTTAGGTACAGAATTTTATGAATTTTCAAGATTATTGCTGAAATCCTGTGTGAAAGTATCCCTCTCTAGACAGACGTTTTTATGCGCTTTCCCATAATAAAAAAAATTTACCAACTATCATGTTCATACCACACTTTGATTACGTTTTGCAATAAAGCATAGAATCATACACTTGGGGAAACACACTAAAGGTTCCAGTTTCCTTACCCCCTTATGCCAGACTAGTAATGCCTAATTTTAACAAACAGATAATACCACATCAGATTATACAGAAGAAACACACACAGGCAGTAAACTAGCAATACCACGAACTGTAGGTTTTTTGACTATTTTACATTTCCAAAAAAATGTGTTAGAAGCTACTCAAATATGATAGCAAAATGTATGATTATTTAACACTGACCAACTGCAGTTATGAATAATTACATATTCGTTCTTGGCACGGGGAAGGGTAAAGCAAAAAAAAAAAAAAAAAAAAAAAAAAAAAAAAAAAAAAATTTTCTATGCAAACTAAGTATATTAAAATTTCAAATAGATGTACTACGAAGGGTAAAGTCAACACTGAAAACGTAAGTACTCACATAAACAGCAGAGTACGTAATGATATGCAGCATAATAATTAGACTCTTTGTGAAATTCACTTCTACTTGTTTGCTTTTGATAAAAAAAATTAAAACTGAAAGCATTCATGACTACTTTGTAGAGTCACTAGGTTATTTTGAAGCAGGAGAAAGGAAAAATATGCAATGCCCTCTGGAACTAGGGCTCTGGACCTCTTGAATACGCATGGAGTATGCTTGTAGTTACATCATGAAGACGGACAAAATACCTTATAGTTTTGACTTATAGTTTTTGAAATCAGCAAAAAATGAAAAGAAAATTTTACACTATTTTTAAATCTAATCCTTTTCCTGTAATGATGGTTTTGAATATTGTTTTCATCGCACCATAATAAAATACATATGTATATTATATATATATATAATCTGATTATTTTTTAAGGCTGCCTCTTCCTCTTCTTCCCTCCCCCCCACAAAAAGATTGTAAGTTTAATAAAATTAATGAACATCTAAATATGAAATTTATCTTTAAAAAGAACAGATTATACATACACACGTATATAAAAAATTTTACTTTAGTACCAAGCACATTTTTAATTTTTATCTTTGTACTAATTACAGATTCAGTTGCTTATAGGTTTGAAGAAACATTCAAGTTATTAAAATGTCCTCAAAATTTAACGTTTGGTCACAATTTTCTTCCACATATTAGCAACTCACCTAAATATAATTAAGAAACACAGCTCCATTTATAATTCTCTTAGCTGTTCCTTGAAGACCAATACGATTACTAACTTTATTAAACTGTTTTGTTTCTATTTTAATTTGCAGTTGCTTTTAGGATTAATTTTTATGTTTTTGTTTAATGTGCTTTGTTTTTTTTCATGTTGAGGATGTTTTGCTAAACATTGTCGAAATAATTAAAATTTTAACTCGATCTTTTTTATTCAGATTAATTTCGTAGGAATTTGAGAGAATTTAGTAGCTTTTAAGTATTTTAAAAAAGTTTTGTTGTCTAATAAATATTTATATTTATTTATTTATTTAATATTACATATAAAGAAAAATAACTTTTAAAATGAAATGCTGAGAAATATATCTGAAACTTGCAAGATGACAAAAAGAATAGATCATCAGCAAATAATTCTAAACACCAATTAGTTCTAAATTTTACTGATGGATACACTAAATCGGAAATATCTCTATAAGTACATCATGGAAAAATCAGATTAACACAACAAAATAACATTAACTGTAACTGTGAAAATTAAGAAAATCAACTGCTGAAATGAAACAATACGCTGCGAAAACGAAGCGCTGCAGACATATAAATTATGTGAAATGGCACATGAACGGCAAGACTAATGTTTTTGCAAATAGTTTTTTCTTTTTACAGGAAGGGAAAAAGTGTTTAATAAAGAGAATGTAAACAAAAGAAACAAATAATATCCTATCTCGTGCATATTATAGTCATGTGAACCTCGCTTGGAAGCACTTTCCTAGCAAATGAAGAAAACTTCTCCTTGTTTAAAGGCTGGGAGGGGAGGGGAGGAGTTAATGTAGTAGGGAGGAGCATAATGTAATACATGGCAATTCAATAAAATCCATTAAGGTTTGAGAGGTTTATAATCAGACTGCAATGCAGAAGTGATCAAGAAGGAGCTTATAGAGAAATAAATAATATTTTCACAGATTAATCTGTCTTCAATATAATTAAAAAAATTATTTTAGGTTGAATATCTGAATTAATAATGTTCCAACACCAATTGACAAACTCTTTGTTATCTTAAATTTTCTCAAGAATAATTTCAGTGAACTTGCCAGTGGAAATTAATGTTTTGTTCATAATTTTTATTTATTTTTTGACTTATTGCTGTACGTGTATATATTTGGTAATTGCATTTTTGTGTCTATTGTATTAATTAGCATTTTGCCCGAAAGTCTTTTACTTCCTTCTTATCAGTATGTGCCTTAGGCATTGTTTCAACTAGCCCGACAGCTTGCTTACCAGGTGTTTTCCAACATTTTCTGTCTATGTTTTGCGCAGACTAGGGTGACAAGTTT